AGAGGATGCGACTGAGGTCCCCCCCCCCCCCCCCCCCCCTGCCCGTTTGGAAGTTCCTCTTCGGGGAGTGTATTCCCGTTTGTCTTGGCGCCAGTCTACGCATTATGCACGTTGCTTTGTTTCTTGTTTCTGTGTTTGAAGTATCCGCCGAGGTCGGACAGGAAGAATGTCCGTCACACAGGACGCGGCTGTTGTGTTTTTTGTGGCCCCCCACCTTTCGTCCCGCGGTACTCGGCTTTGCTTGATTTTTTCTTGAGAAGGGTGCAGCCGCGTGTCCTTTTTCCCTTGTGTCGACCGTGAAGTCGAAGCGTGTACTCACGAAATATGTCGTTGTTGTTGTTAGTGTCCTTGATGTTTTTTTTTTGTTTGTTTCAGGAACAGAGACGCCGTCGACCCGGTGCCGTTGGAGGTGGAAGCGTTGTTGTTGCTGCTGCCACTGCTGATGGTGAGGTTGATTCTGGCGCCGGTGCTGCCACGGTGGTTGAGACCGAGGACGAGAAAGCGGGTGACGCTGGCGCTGCAGGCGCCGCTGCTGCGGCTGCAGCTGCGGCCGGCGAGGCTGGTGTTTCCGGATGACCTTGCCGCGTCATGTAACACGTACATACTATACCCAGAGGTCCTCCGAATTTTTGTTGTCTGTCTGGATTGTTGTTGTCTTGTTTGTGTCATGGAGGCTCATCTGGGTTTGTACGCGTGTGTGGAAGGGTCGTGCCACCGGATCCGCGTGTTTGCCTTCTTCTTGTTTGTAGTCCCTGTCGTGTGTGGGTATTTTCTCGAAATCATTACTGCTGCTGCTGCTGTTGTTGCTGCTCGCACCCTTTCGGCTTCTGCCGCTCAATAGCGAGTTTGCAACAGCTGCTGGACGGTCCTTGTTTTTCTTTTTTGGCTAGCAACCGTATGGCGGCTTTGGTGGGATCGGCCTCTTTGCGTTGGCGGTTTGTTGGTGACGACGTGAGTCCGGCGGGGTTCGCTATTGCTAGTAGCTTGTCTTGGGGCTCTTGCTCATTTTTCACGGCTGTCTGCACTAAAAGGCAAGAATGTTGGGGATTGTGAAGTCTGATGATGAACGCCCACGGCCTGCTCTCTCCCTCTCGTTGGTATGAGTACCCAGGCTGAAGATTTGTTTGTTTTTCGTTTCTCCGCTTTATGACATTACGTGAAGAATGCATCGAGGTCGGGTCCATCCAGAGTTGACGTTCCCAAAGAACTGAAGTCGGTTTCACGAGGCTGGCGTCCGGGTGATCGGTGTATTTCTGGCCGGGTGTTGACGGTGTCCCTTCTTTTTTTTTGCTGTGCAGCCAGGTAGGAGGTCCATCGGGGCTATTGTTGTGCGGAACGTACCAACCTCTGTTCGCCGTGCTGACATGCGTAGCGTGCTCCCATCAAGATAAAAGTTGCCTGGTTTTGGTCGGTCTCATGGGCCGTGTCTGTCGTGGATCCGGAACAACCTTTGATTATTCCGGTGCGTAGTTCACGGATGCGTACGACCGGTCCGATCCATCGTCCCGTTCCAATAACACGTCACGAGTTGTAGAGGGGGGAAAAGACGAGCTTTCGATTTCGCGCGAGCCTTCCCGCGTTGTGTTTCTTCCCATGCCTGCCTCCCTTCCGACACCATGTAGCAGATCCACACTTACTGCTGATGCTGTAAAGGCGTTGGCTGGACGACCGGCTCGGCACACGCTGCAGCAGAAAAGGTTTTTGTTGTCAAGACACCAGTGTCCTTCGAGCCTGGGCTATTCACGGGCCAATTGCCTCCCCTCTGCTGTGCAACGAAAACACCTTGGCCAGGCTAATGGACATGGTGGACCGCTGGCCGTCCGGCCCGATTGGCACACAGCAGGTTTGAAGTTTGTTGCCCTTGTTGTCTTTAAACAACGCGCAAATATCGCTACTTGCTACAATGGAACGTTTCATTCAATTACATTGTTTTGGTGGCATCGTTTCCCCCCCAAGACCTACCTACCTACCCTTGTAGCTCAGGACAGCTAGCTTCCCTACCTCGGGATTGCCGCACATTTCTCCCATTCATCCCCCTCCCCAAAAATAGCGGAAAGGTATGCCAACCAAAAACAATCCTCGACAAGGTGCGTCTTGCCACACGTGCCCCGACAACGAATAGTTCATCCCTTGTGAGGTAAAGAAATGATGAAAACATGAGCGCGCCGTGCACATAGTTGGAAAACCTCGCCCAAGACGAGCGACGGGCGGATGATAACAAGCAACACGGACTGGAAAAACAGCCCCCCTCATCAAGATGGGAAAGAATGAAAAAAAACGAACGTGTGTTGCAAGAACACGCAGGGAAAACAACCCGCCACCACCGTGCATGCAGCCTGTGCACGAGGGATAACAATGCTCTCGTACACCGGGGGAGGCACAGCACACTGTGTGGGAATCATATATACTGCCTCCTCCAGAGTTGTCCATGGTTGTACTGCTCGTTGGACTGGAAAGGGTGGGTCACAACGATTCAGCGGGCAGAAATTCGTCGGCCGAGTCTCAGGGTATGCTCAAAACAAACGTAACGGCAACATTGTCGCCCCAAAAAACACCAAATACTGCTGTAAAGGTAGTCATACAGCATGGATGGGTAATAGTGAAGACATTAATATGTTCAAATTGCGGAACGACAATCATGCCCCATGCCCTTGCATGTACAAGCTGACCCTGACTTTTCTCGTGAGCTGAGCCTGGCAAAGTAGATAGAGAGCACCACCACCCAGGACGAATCTTTCCACCAGCCCTCCTCGGCGATGAACGCGCGCCTCTACCTCACTCTAGCGTTCCACGCGAAGGGTGGAACGAAAACTTGAACCGACGACGACCAGTCACATCCAGAACACCTACCAAAGCGAATTACTCCTACATGCAACAGGAAAGTTAACAAACCAGGCAGACTAACCTGACAAGCAGACATCAATAGATCACGCCATCTTGAAAATACTCGTACAACGTATTTCTCCCCCCTCGTTGACCACCGGTAACGACTTTTCAATAAATGTGTGTTGGCACGCTCAATGACCCCCAGCACAGAGGGTATAGGCGACCGCAACGTTGTATGAACAGTGCAGCACAGCTGGTCCTATTGGCTGCAATGAACTGCCTCCCACCCCCCCTTGTGCGAGAAACTGTTGGCAGTAACAACCAACCGTTATATTGGTCGATGTCACCATGCCGTAATTCGTATCAACTGACAGAAACCGAACACACACGTAATGCTCCTTTGCTTAAAACTACCAGCTTGGCAGACCCAGAGGGAGGTAGGGGCAAGACTGCTCCCAAGTCCTCCTTCGTGTTCTGAACCGCCGTTTATACGGGACAACTACAACCGGGCGAATAGAAACTAAGGCAGGCGTGCTGGCTACAACACCGAGGCGGCGTCCAAGCAACCGGGCGCGCAGCTAACTGCAAAATTCGAGTTTCTCAACCGGCTATCGGCTTCGAGGACACCACACTTATGTCCCGAGGAAGGGCCTGCGTACAAAAAATCGCCCGAGTCTTCGTGGGGTCTTACTTCGTTTCGCAACGGAAGTAGTCTAAAAAAAGAAAAACTCTTCTCCATCCGCGAGAGCAAAAGAGAGAGAGGGGAAAGAGACGAGACCGCGACCTCCGGAGTAGTGCCGCTCGGGAGCGTTTGCATCGAAGCGGCCGGCCGCGACTCACTGTTTGTTGTGTTCGCATCTTGGTCGAAACACCATATTTAACACTCCTCGGAAGGAACGCCGCTGGATGAGGAGAAGGTGCTCGGAGGCACACTGTTCCCGTCGTCGGAAGTGATGTTGTCGATGCACACGCCCGAGGGGAGGCTGTTGCCCGACCACGTCGTGGCCTGGGCGTCGTAGAACTCTAGCTCTTCGGTGCCAGTGAATTCGTTGTCTGCATGGGAATTTTGTATTCGATTTGGTGAGCCGTTCGGCGGGCGGAGGAGAAAACTGTCAAGACGCACTGGGAACGAGCTTGCATGTGTGTACACACGACAGATTTTGTCTTTTATAGCCCGAAGTGGGATGTGTAGCAATCTAGACCAGAGGATCGATCATGGCCGTTGTCAAGGAAGGCGCAGCGTGACTCTTTTCAAGCAGAGAGAGACGTCACTCGTAGCAACAAAATAGCGCATCCAGTATGTACGACAACGATCGCCGGTACGCATATTCTTCTGCGTACGAGCAACAACGGAGCAGCAATACTCACTGGTAACGACGATGTTGTCTGAGTTCTTGAACTTGACACCTCCCGCGCTGTTGGTGACCTTGTTGTTGTTGAAGGTGTTGCCGTTCGGGCGACCGTTGCTGACATCCGGCTCATCACTCCCCATATAAGTGTACAGTCCCCCTGGTGGGGCAGACGGGGAAAAACAAAAAGCTGACGCTGCATGGATTCATTGCTAATAAACGAGATGGATTCGTTGGGTCTTGATAAGAAAAAAAAAAATAGCCACAGAATGGCGGCGCGACACGGGTGGGCAAGAATAACGTCGCGGTGATTTATGGTGAGTTCTGGCCAGCGCGCATGCATCATGGCAACAACTCGCTTCTACCTCTTGACGGGCACAAACATACTTGGCAGCATTGGTCAGTGCATGACGACACCCCGACACAGCCAACGTGAGCGACTGCCTGTTTGCTGTTCCTACATTCAGAGAAAAACAAACGATGTCTGTCTGTAGCCCTGAGAAATTCGTTCCTTCCGCGTTTGTTCACTTTCCCTAGTCCGCTTTCATTCACTCTTCCTATTAACCCGAACGAGGTCGCCCTGTAAGTCGCCCTTACAGTCGGAACAGTCGTTGAACTCGTTGTCGTACACGCTGTTGCCGCCCGAGCCCAAGCTCATGCGGATGCCGAACTGAACGCCGTCGATTTCGTTGTCGTGGATGTCCGCGTTGAACGACTCGAGCAGGGCAATGCCTGCGTCCGGCATGTTCCAGATCTTGTTGCCTGCGGCAGCAGTAGCAGGAGCAGACGAAACGCCGTACACATAAAAAGCCACGCCATGTTTGTGACCCTTTCGTCGATGTGTGATACTACTGAGCATTGCCACCACCGTTGATCGGCCAACGACTCTGGGCTGCGGGCCGTACTACTTGTACCAACCGCGTCTCCCCCTAGCTTCGACGTTCGGTCTTGTCGGTCTGGGAGACGGGAGGTGGGGGGGGAGTTTGGAGCTACGGTCGTTGCCGCAAGCAGAAACGGATAACGCTTTCTTCTACTGTGCCCACTCACATCCCGCCTTGTGGATTGTCGCCTTTCCCTTTACCGCCTGAAGTCTCGTCGACATCTTAACATTTTGAAACCAACCGCTGCCGGTAGCTACGCACAGAGACATTTATATTCCTGCTTCCTGGTAAATCTCGGTTACTGTGGGTCTGAAGGCAGACAGACGTGTTTCCCTTTTCTTACCATACACCTCCGCGTTGTCGGAGCTGCGGTGGAGGAAAATGCCGACGGCATCAGGCCCGCCGTCTGAGACCTGATTGTCGTAGATCTTAACGTTGTTGCAGCGCTTGGAGGCGATGATACCTGCGAATGACGTCATGGAAGAATTTTCGGGTCCATGCGGAAGAGCACGTGCGAGTGTGTGAAAAAAAGAGGAATCGGTCTGCTTGGGATCGACGATTGATTGATCCCAGTAGCGACAAACAAGGAAAGCGTTTCACATAGGACGGCAGCCACTACTACGAGACTGGAAATAGTTATAGGGCAAGCGAAGCGCAGAGAGTAGACTTGAGAACACAAAACGCCTTCGGAAGTCATGAAGGAAAATTGCAAGCGTGTATTTCGAAGACAACAGCAGGAGGAGCAGATATCTTGGTTTCGGTACATTGCCACGCTCACTCTTCTTCCCGCATCATCAGCCAATCAGCAACACGACGACTCGATCGAGTGGCTTTTCGTGCCATCAGGTGAAGCAAACCGACAACAACGACGACGAGAGCAACGCTTGCGGACTTACCGTGGTTGTAGTTGTTGTACACCTTGTTGTTGGCGACTGCGGTGGCGAAGAACAAACGACAAATGAGGAATCGGGGGGAACAGGTAGACACAAGTAATGGGTGGATTACCGTGCGATCAGAAAAGAATAGGCGCTCACTGGCGACGCGGATGAGGGGACACAGCGTTCTTCTCATGAATGCGACCCGATGTGGCAGCCTTTTCGCACTTTGCAGTCGCGAGGTTTTCGTGAAGAGTTTTCTACAAGCTCGTCGTAGCAGTCAGAGGCTGTTTTAGTCCGTGCATAAAATCTGGATCAGTACGGATAATGCTGGACGGTACTGAGAGCAGACCGGAATGGTTTTCATTGTCAAGACAACAACAACGACTCACTCGTGAGGTAGTCGGAGTCGTCGTGGGGGTCAAACCCTGGTGTCCGAGCCCCATGCGAGGGCGATGGCGAACAGGGCAGACAGACGGAGGAACGACGAGGAGGACGGGAGAATCTTGTTTAGTACCGGCAGGCGCCGTGGCGAGTTGGGTTCAAAAACTGCAACCATAGCCGTCGCAACGGGGGTCGGAACAACGGTCGTCGGCGTTCGTTCGTTCATGATACGCATCGTTCTCAGGATTGCGGTTCACGCGCGACAGGCAAACCCAGCCCCGAGGTCCGCAAAAGCACGTGTTCCACGTGTCGTGTGATCGAAACTCAACGCACCCGCAAGGGCTCGCCTCTGCATGCAGCCTGCTACTAGTCCGGTAGGCATGCCAGAAAGGATTTTTTATATGGTGAACGGGAGAGAAGAACACAGCGTACGGAAGCTTCTGAGCATAGGTCAGAAACACGACTTATTATAACATGTGGCAACAAGCAACAGCGGCAGCGTACGCCCCCTCGTCATTTCGTAGCCCGAGTTGTTCGCAGAGCTTGCCGTCGGTTCACAGAGGAAGCTTGCCGTCTCACCGTACTGGTGGTTGTCGTGCATCTCGTTGTTGGTCCATACGCCGCCCTGGTGCCCGTAGCTGTAGTGCCCGTAGTACATGTGGTGGATGTCGGAGTTCTTGATATCTCCGTAGACGTTGGTGGTCTCGAACACGTCGGGGTTGGACAGGTCCTTGCAGAAACCGCGGACCTATTGTTTCCAAGAAGAAGGGAAAGCGAAGCGCCATGCTTTGATGGTGTCAACATATCGAGACCAAGGATCAGACGCGTTGCAGCCTCTACTGCCGAGCACCAGCCCCTGGCACAGCACAGGAAGCTACAGGCACGCGTTCTTAGGGCACAACCAGCAGTGTTGGGGCGGGTATGATCTTTGGTAGTAAATACTACAATTCGATTGGGTCCGGCGGCCGTTGAAGAGTACTGGGGCTTAAGCCTGGCTTCTTCCCCTTTGACCGTTTCGTCGAGACAATGTCCTACGTACGTGTGCAGAAGGCCCCACCCCTCCACAACCTCGTACTTTGGCCCCAGGCTTGTTTCCTGTTTTCTCTCTGAGGGGAGACCCGACGTATCGGCTGCATAGGTTTCTAGTGTAGGATGCTTTCACTGAACAGCTGTTATCCTACTTCTTGTCTCAACATTGGAAACCGTTCAAGTCCCCGCCTAGAGTGCCTCCTATCATCCATACTAGTCCAACTGATGCGGACGCCTTCATTCAACTCTCCTCGAGGACGAATTTTCTTAGCTCCCGGGGTTCTCAAGCGGCGGGGCGTACAACACCACGAGGGGGGTGGCGGTCGCTCTACAAATGGTCTAGGAGCAGTCGTGGCTCTGATATGAGAGGATGGTGTGACGAACGCCCACGACCCCCTTACACATCAGAGCACCCCTCTTCCAAGGTACCCTCATGTAACGGAGCCATGGCTGCTGCTGTGCTACATACAACACCGCGCCCTGCCTGCCGCCGCACCTTCCAGGTGAGGCCGTACGACTCCGAGTCGAAGAAGCCCATGTAGCCCATCTCGGAGTTGATGATGTCCATGCGGCACTCCCCCATGTCGTTCTTGGCCATGCCGTCGCACGTCTCCCCTGTGAGCTTCTCGGACACGCAGTTGAGGAAGGACCGGCCGCCCTCGTAGGTCTCCTGCGGCTGCTTGTTCGGGGTGTCCCAGGACGTGACCACGGTGTGGCTGAAATACATGCTGCCGCCGTGCCCGCGCACCTTTCGGTCGGAGAAGGAATACACCGGACCGGAGGCGTGAAATAAAAGAAACACGCACAAATAAGAATTTGTAAATGGTAGTGTGTGTGTTTTATTAATATTATTTTTAGCATCGACCGCGCAAAGCGGCGGCTGACCAATGAAAAGACGTAAATCTCAGTGGCGGTTGTACACAAAACACTTACAATTCTATTAGTGTGTCTATATCGTTGTCATTGACATCGACAGCGCTAACCGCCCGACCAACGAAAAGACTTACAGAAAGTCATGGCAATTAGGCTGAAAAACGAAAACTCTTCTCAAGGCTGTAATCTGGGGCTCCGCGAGGGGGCGCCATAGGGGCGGCCAAGCTACTCTCCCGATTAGAGACAGAGACGGGAGCCACAGAGGAGAACTGTACGTGTCTCCTACGGCCGCTACTATGCACACGCGTTCGTTTCGGAGTGTTTTCATGATTCTCCCTGTGATTGCCCCCACGCTCGTCACCAATATCACCACTATTTTTTAGCGGATTTCCTGCGGCGAGCGTGTGTGGATGCTATTTGATCAGCTTCCGCTGTGCCACATGATGCGTGTCCGCGAGAACCGTGTTCGTACCTCGTACCAGTCGTCCGGACCGGTCGACTGGATGCGGAGCTCGTCGCAGTCGCCCCCCTCCTCGCTCCCGATGCAGTAGAAGATCGCCCCGTTGGTGACGTAGAGCTCGGCCTCCAAAAGCCACTTCTTTGTGACGGACGTCGGAGCCGTAATCTTGCTGCCGGAGCCGTCCAGCATGTAGAGGGGGCCCTTGGACGACCCGTCGTTTTCGGTGCCGCGGAAGTTGTAGAGGTCTGTCAAGGTGAAGCACCCTTCGCTCTCCGCGTCTGTGTGAACGACGATGGCGATGGCGACGGCGGCAGGCAGTAGCATGTTTTTGCGCGGGGTTTAACTATATCGGGGGAGGGCGGGACACACGCACACGCACGGGGTCGGTCGTGGTTTCGAGAGACTATTTTTCATCAGTGATTGGAGACAGACGCATGCATGTGGGGTATCGGCGATTGGCATCGTTGTTGTTGAAAAGCAGTGTCGTCCTCACAGATGCGGCGCATGCATGTGTGTGCGTGCGTGCTCACTACACGTGATCGATTGTGACTTTTATAGTGTATGGCAAGACTGCGCACAGGATTTATCAACGCAGCGCGGCAGGAGATGGAACAGAGTCAGCCGATGATGGGGGGGGGGGGCGTGGGAGG